GGGGGGGGGGGGGGGGGGGGCAGGTACCGGGAATCAAATTCAGGACCTTGCTCTTGTCAGGCAGGCATGGCACCACTGAGCTACATCACCAGCCCTCCATTGACTTCTTACAAAGCTATGGGGTCATACTTGGGGAGCACCAGGGGTTAGTGATTGGAGCCCTCCTCTGTATGTCTAGCCTATATCGTTGTTACTTATACATATCTCTGGCTGTAACCTGTTCCTGGGTGTTCAAGACCACATTAAGGTGAGAACTTTGTCAATTGTAACTTAACCACTTGATAGATAGATAGATAGATAGATATATCTCAGTAAAATTTCCTCAGGCATTACTTTTGGGGCCATGGTCAGAGCCTCTTAGTTTCAGTTCTTCCTCTGTCAGATGTGTCATCTGCCAGGATGAGTCATTGTCTGTGCTAGATCACATGGCTTTTCTGAAGCATGGGAACCCTTTAGTGACTCTCCTTTCAGCATGATGTACATTGGTAGAATCCTATCCTCTGGGGTCCAACAATCTCCTTGCTCAGGAGGTTGGATGACTCACCAGAGTTGTAGGATCTTGCGGAAAGGTCCATTCATGTCCTGGGTCCTTGTTGACCTGGGAAAAGCAAGGGCCAAAATATTGGCTGTCCTCTTGACCTGATTATCTTTTTCAGGTTTGGTCTCCCAAACTTCAGTTGTTGAACACCCACCAAAAGAAGGTTGGTTACATCAGTGGTATAGTGACAGCAGTTAATTTTATGATTTATCTAGATAGCCAGTCTATAATATTTTCTCCTCTGAAGAAGTGCCCCTAACTGTTTGAAGGGGAAAGGGGTGTTGGCTACTCTGGCTGCTTTTGGCTGGAGGTGGTCGGAGTTGTGGTCCGAGATACTCTCAAGAGGGTCTATGTAAAGACCCTTGGTAGACATCAGGCATTTTCATCTTGGGTAGGAATATAGCTTTAAGTCTGGAGGAGAAAAAACTAAAGAACCAGTTAAATATGCATGGGCTAAACAATAAATAAATAAGACTGTTATTAATATGGCCAACAATTGCTTCCACCAGGAAGAACCAGCGATAGCCTTCCACAAAGAGGGTAAGGAATAGGTCCAGGGAGCTTCAGAATCTGACATGACATTAATCTGTCATCTAATACCTTTTTTTTTTTTTTTTTTTTTGCAGTATTGGGGTTCAAACTCAGGACCTTGCACTTCCCAGGCAGGCACGGCACCACTGAGCCACATCCCCAGGCCTGTCATCTAATATCTTGAACAGCCATCTAGGTGTTATCAGATTGATCAGGAATGTGCATGCAACATTCAGCTTTTACAGTTGCACAAGTTCCTCCATGTGCTGCTGTTGGGACATCTAAGGCCATCTGGTTCTCGAAGACAGCTTGTCTCATTAACTTGACTTCTTCATTTAGGAGAAAGATCCTGGTTAAGGTCTCATTTAAGGCCCCTTGAGTATAGCTGGTTAAGGCCTCGACGTGTTGCATGACATCCTCTAATCCTAGAGAAGGGATAAAAAATAGCAACCAAATGATCATACCAGTGAGACACACTCTTAGACCATCAGTGTCACAGATGAGGTAAGTTTGCCGGTTGACCAATATTTTAACACTCCTGCCTTGTAGCCATGCAAATCCCAGTGTGCATCTCCCTATCCACCCAAGGGGTAGCCAGGGCCACAAATTGGTTCCGCAGGACCAATAAGTGTCATTGGGGCTTGCCTATCTAATTCCAGGACAATTAAGTCAGTCTGTTGCAAACCAATCTTTGACCTATAAAGTTATAATGTGTGTGCATTGCTCAGAGGATGCCCGCCCCAAGCATTTAGTAGAGTTAGGCCAATGAGAATAGGAGTGATTTCTCTGTTCCCAACATAAGGAGGCCTGCTAAGGTGCCCTATAGTGGGAGCTAACCACATGTAATCATCCCACATCTGGAAGTAGCCATCTTTTGGCGGGGGGGGGGGGGCTACTTGGGATTGAACTCAGGACCTTGTATTTTTAAGGCAGGCGTTGGCACCACTGAGCTAAATCCCCAGCCCTGGAAGTAGCCATCTTGATATCTATGATTGCTGGCTCTCGAAATAGATCCCTTACTCCTATCCTCTAGGGGCTTTACCAAACCCCATAGAGAGGTTTCAGTGGCATCTTTAGAAAAAGTCCGGTTATGTCTGGGATCGTTAAGAGTGGATTTTATGGGCTACTCAGTTACCTTGTAATGGTGAGCTAAACTATGAACTGTGGAGCCTTTCCATGTCTCTTCAATGTAGTCTTGTAATTTATTCCAGTCATCACCTTGAAATGGTGATACCCACCAAGGGAGTCCTGAGGTACTTGACAAGGGGAGCAGGCCACATATCCAGTGAGATTTTTGTTGTAATGACTCTGCATATTCCTGTGCCCACACTAGAAAGAAATTGAACTCTCCTTTAAGTGGTATAAAAGTAATTAGTGAGAGAGTTAAAAGTAACATCTTAGATTACTTATCTTGGTTTTGTCTTTTGAATAGGAACTTTAGGTCCTCCACAGGTTCACAAGTACAGGTGGGCTCAGATGTGGCCTGGGGATGATCCAGAGGTGTATTGTCATGGTTCTGGGAGGCAGTCCAGAGCTTTACTCTGGAGTGATGAATCCAGGAGTCCTGTCCTGTCACCTTAACTTCAATGGGGGAGGAAAGGATCACTGTGTAAGGATCTTCCCATAGGGGTTTGGTTAGGTCTTCTGTGTTTAGACCTTTGACAAGCACTAGGGTCCCAGGACAGAACAGAGGCTTGCTAGATGGAGTTGGCCATTTGCCTTCAGGCTAACAGGATCTGTTGGAACTGGGCTAAGGACCTTCTCTCAAGGATCCTTTGGTTTCCTCATTGTGTAGGATGTCATTTCTGAGGGAAGGTCACCCATACAGAAGTTCAAAGGGAGACAGCCCCTGAAACCTGGATGTATTTTTGGGCTATATGAGGCCCACAGGTAGGAGCTGTTTCCAAGGAGCCTTGCATTCCTGTGCCAGCTTGAGCTGTTGCAGAAATCTCAGAAAGAAATACACAGAGACACAGAATTCGGATTAAATATTAAAATTTCTTCTTGCGAGTGGATGGGAATGCCAGAAACCAGTCTGGTCAATATCCGTGCCCACTTTGTTCAGCATTTCCCTTTTTATATCCTTTTTAGCCATTATCTCATCCCTAGTGGTCTTTGATATGTAAATACAATTCCAGTTCCTATTTACAAGTCACAGACACAAGATAGACAATATACATTGTAAATTCACCCTGGCATGGTAACTTTGTTAGGTTAATGAAGTTACTGGTTAGAGTCAGATAATCCTCACCTTAAACAAGGAGTTACAGGAAAAGCAAATCTTAAAAGAACACATTACTTATTTTGCTTCTACAACTACCTTAATATTCAATCTATTAAGTTATCTAAAACTTTTCCGTATCAGAGCAAGCATCTCTTGAGTCTCCTATTAGCCCATTCTACCTGTTCTGATAACTGGGGCCACCAGGCACAGTGACGCTGATACTCAATGCCCAAGGCTTTTGAGACTCCCTGGCTAATTTCAGAGCAAAAGGCAGGCCCATTGTCATTTTCAAGACTTTGTAGTACCCCAAATCTTGGAATAATCTCATGGTCAAGAACCCTGACTACTTGTCAAGCCTTTTCAGTCTGGGTAGGAAAGGCTTCTATCCAACTCGTGTTGGTGTCAATCAGGACTAAGAGGTACTACCTGTGTTGTCCTCTTGGCATGTGAGTGAAATCAATCTGCCAGTCCTCTCCTGGATAACTGCCTTAATATTGTACTCCTTGAAGTTTTAATTGGGCATTCTGAGGATTAGTCCTTAGATACACTACATCCTTTAACCACTTGTTGTGTCACTTCAAGTCCTTTTCCCACAAAGGACTTGGTAACCAAGATAGGAGTGCTCTTTTGTCCTAAATGACAAGTATCGTGGGTACTTTTAGTTACTTTCCATGCCAAATCTCTCAGCAGAAAGAGGCAGCCTTTAGGTATGGCCCGCCATCCGTAAGTTAAGGGTTCATCCCTGGCTCTTGGCATGTAGAATTTCCTTATCAGAATAAGCAGATGGGCTAGTAGCAATAGACTAGTGGACCACAAAAGGGAGCATTCTAGCTGTTGAGAAGCAGCTACCTTTGCCTCTTTATCAGCTCTTCTACTGCCCATAACAATAGAATCTGTTCCTCCTTGGTGTCTCAGGTAGTGACTTATTGCCACTTCTTGAGGCAGGTGTACAGCCTCAATGAGTTGTAGAATCTCTGGGGAATGTTTAATGGGAGGTCTGTAAGAAGTCAACAGGCCTCATTCCCTCCAAATAGCAGCATGAGCATGAATCCCATAAAATGCACACTTAAAATCAGTATAAATGTTTACTCTTATGTCTTGACAAAGTCAGCACTGAAGTGAGAGCAATCAGCTCTGCCTTTTGAGCACTTGTGTCATGAAGTAACAGGACTAACTCTAATGCTCCCACACTGGTAATCACTGCATATCCTGCCTTCCTATATCTATCCTGTACAAAGAAGCTGCCTTCAGTGAACAACTCAGTGTCTGGGTCATTGAGAGGCTGATTAGTTAACCCTCTTTTTAACTGTTGAGTGTGGATTAGAACCTTTGTATAATTATGTTTACTTTCTCCTGGCTCTCGAAGATCACACAGAAAGGTGTCAGGGTTAATGCTTTGACAGGTTTCAATATTTACATCTGGACCTTCTAGCAAGAGAACCTAACATTTTATAGCAATCTTTTTTTTCTTTTGGTTCCAGGGATTGAACTTGGGTCCTTGTGCTTGTGCAGCAGGCGGTGAAACCACTGAGCTAAATCCCCAGCCCAGAACCTAACATTTTAAAATCTGTCCATCAGAGACCCAGGGATGGACTGGAGCATTAAGAAGTCTCCCAATGCTGTGGAGGGACTTGATTGTAAGGGTCTTCCCCTGAGTTAGCTTGTGAGCCTCAGCAACTAATATGCCTGCTACCACTAAAGCTCATTAGCAAGCTGGCCATCCTCTGGCCACAGTGTCCAGTTTCTTGCTTAAATAGACTATGCACTGGTGGCTAGGCCCCAGGGATTGGGTAAGAACACCTAAAGCCATTCCCTGTCTCCCCATTAAAAAGAGAGTATACTGGGGCCAGGGATTTAGCTCAGTGGTTCCGCTACCTGCCTCACAAGCACAAGGTCCCAAGTTTGATCCCTGGTACAAAAAAGAGTATACTTGTCTTGAGTTGGGAGTTTCAATGCAGGGGCTTCCTGTGGGGCCCTTTTGAGGACCTGGAATGCCTGTTGGGGCTCTGGGCTCCAGACAAGGAGATGAGCCCCTGCATCCTGGGTCTCCTTAAGAAGCTGGTAAAGGGGCCTGGCCTTTTCAGCATATCCTAAGCCCCAAACTCTGCAAAACCCAGTCATCATTAGAAAGGCTGTCAGCTCTTTGCTATGCTTGGGCAAAAGGAAGTCCAGAATGTGTTGAATTCTCTCTGAATTTAGTGTCCTTCTGCCCTGAGCAGCCCTAAATACGTGACCGGGGATTAGCATATTTGGGCCTTCTCTTGGGACACTTATAACTTCCAGAGGCTAAAAAGTTAAGGAGGGTCTCAGTTCCCTCCCATACTTGGATCTCTATATCCCATAGAACATCAGATCATCAGATTAATGTAAAAGGATAATGCTCTCGTTCTTCCATTCTAGAATTCTAGGGCTAGGCCAAAAAGATGGGAATTATTTAAAAACCCCTGGAGGAGGACTGTCCAAGTTAATTGGCCCACCCCTGCTAGTGAATTCTCAAAGGCAAAGAGATTCTGACTTTCAGGCACCAAGGGAACACAAAAGAAAGCATTTAAAGTTCTAAGACAGAAAAGCAGCTGGCTGAGGCTGGAATCTATGTCAGTAAAGTGTAGGGACTGGGCACAACTGGATGTAGAGGCACCAGAGCCTCACTAATGAGGTGCAGCTCTTGTACCAATCTCCACTTAATAGGCCCCTTTCTGACTTCAGGTAAGAAAGATGGAAGAACTAAGTTTCTCTGTGTGATCTAGTCTGCTCTTCATTGGAGGCAGTAATCCAAAGTCTGGGGTCAGTGTTCTCCTCTCAGTCCAGCTCCAAGCATTTTTATCTCTAGGCGGTCAGGAGACTATACCAAATCATTAACAGCCCATTATCCTTTCATCCAGACTCCCAGGGAGACCTTGACTCCTTATCATATCCCTCAAGGCAGCAGGCTATCATGCCCTTCCTGAGAGGTACATGATATACCACAGTCAGCATTGTGCATATAATATAATGGCAAGTTGATGAATCTCTGTTGCCAGGGCATAATCTTTAAAAATATTAGTGAGTCATCTAATATAGTCCAATAGCTAGACTTCCACCCACGTGTAGTTACTAAAGGCACAGGAATTTTGAATATGAGAGGTGTTCGGGGCTTTGTTCTTCCTAGTTCCTATGAGATTTTTTGCAGTGCTGGGGATCAAATCCAGAGCTTCTTGCATGCTCAGCAAGTGTTCTATCACTATGCTACTGTAGGAGATATTGTAGATAGGTAAGTTAATTAGATATCTAAAATAGTTCATTTTAGTTAGCTTATAAGTAAGGCAGCTAGCTAGGGGAAAGGCATGAGATAGAGTTAGGTGGCCAACCATGATGATAAGAAGTAAAATAAGAATAGACAAATGGTACTGTAACAAAGTGCAGCACATTAAAGCAACTTCATTGTTAAAAAAAAAAAAAAGAATAGACAGTGAACTAGGACCTCGGACCAAGGATGAACTTCTTCAGGCAACATGAAATTCAGCTCTCTCCCTACTAAAGGGAGTTGTATCCACTCCCTACTAAGCTCCTGAGTTCTGAGGAATTTAAGATGCAAAATAACCATTTTTTCCTCTAAAACCGCAGCTCCCTTTAGTCCCTACATGTTGAAAAACTGGATCAGAGAGCCTGAATTCCAATTGGTCATTTTAAATCCACAGAGCTACCTGTAGAAAGTGGCCACTAGGCAATTGAGCAATTCCTGCTCTCTTCTTATCTATTATTACTTCTGAATTGAGGGACCATGTGGCCACCCCCTTGGGGTCCCTCCTGGAAATCAGGAACTATTTTTCTTATTCCCAGTAAAAACTCTCCTAACTTCCTCCTTTGTCTTCGTGACTTTATTCCTTGAGGTTGAGACCAGGAGCTCAGTACATATGGTGACATCATGCCCCTAGCCCTATGATTCTTCAGTTTTGAATTTTTCATCTAAAAGTCCTCAGCTAGTATTTACTCTACTTCATTTAAACCAGGATGTATTTGAAGTTCAATTTCCAATAAGGAAGAAATCAAAGTTAAAGGATTGAATTTTCCTACCATTATTTTCCTTTTTTTTTTTTTTTAATGGTACTGGGGATCGAACCAGGTCCTTGTGCTTACAAGGCAGGTGGCAGAACCACTGAACTTAATCACCGGCTTATTTTACATTTTCTTCTAAGCATCTTGATATTTCATTAAAATGTAATTAGACAAGGAATTCCTTTCATTTACTCTGAAGATTTATGTTTTTTGAATCAAAAGATTTATATAATTTATCAATTATGTAAAACTTTTCAGCTATCCTTTCATATTTCTTTGTACTTCTCTCCTTGTAGAATTCATTTTAGACATGGTGTACATTGTCCTAATCTATTATATTTTGCAAGTCTTTGTATCTCATTCTGAGTAACTTTATCTGATCTTTTTTCTCTTTCTTGAATTCTTTGTTCATTTCTGATTTATCTTGACAATTGAGCCTTTCATTTCAATTACTGTAGGATTTTGGTATTTTGGGGGTGGGGGTGGGCGTGAGACAGTGTCACTTTGTAGTTCAGGCCAGCTTGAACTCACTGCTTAGCCCAGGCTAGTGTGGAACTCACAGAGATCCTCCAGCCTCTGCTTCCTGAGTACTGGGATTACAGGGATGTACCACCACACCCAAGTGAATTAGTATACTTTTAATTTTAAATGTTTATTTTGGTTTTTTTCCAAATCTGCTTTGTGTATTTTTCATTGAGTCTTGTTATTTATTCCAATGCCTTTACTAATTTTAGAGTATTCATTTTAAAGTCATATTTAAACATACGCTGGGGCCGGGGATTTAGCTCAGTGGTTTTGCTGCCTGCTGCGCAAGCACAAGGACCGAATTCGATCCCCGGTACCAAAAAAATAAAATAAAATAAACATACACTGTATAATTTCAAATTCTTAAAACTGCTATGTTGTTTACTAATACTGGATCCTTTACTTGTGTTTTGTAATTTTTTACATTATAAGATCATTTTCAGAAACCTTTTTCTGTTTATGGGAAATCCACGTGACCTAAAGCAGTTTTTTGCGTGCTTTGCTTACACTATATCCACAGAAGCTTCACAGACTCAGTACTAATCAGTACCTAAGTTCATTTTTCAACTACATTTGGATTTCTATCCTATGCAAGTTTCAGACCTGGGAGTTCAACCCTCAGCAAGTTTTGTTGTTAATGCAGTCTTATACTTCAACATCTTAAGTACATTCCTTCAACTTCTATCCTTGGGTAGACATTAAAACCCAATAACGGGGCCAGGGATTTAGCTCAGTGGTTTTTTTTTTTTTTTGGTACCAGGGATCAAACTCAGGTCCTTGCGCTTGCGCAGCAGGCGGTGAAACCACTGAGCTAAACCCCTGGCCCTAAACTCAGTGGTTTTGACGCCTGCTGTGGAAGCACAAGGACCCGAGTTCGATCCCCGGTACCAAAAAAAACCACCCAGTAACAACTGAGCATGGTGGCATACACCTGTGTCCCTAGCATTCTGAGGTGAGGCAGGAAGAGGCTGAGGCAGGAGGGTTGCAAATTCAAACCCAGGCTAAGCTTAACAGTGATTTAACAGTGACCTCGCTCAGCGAGGGTCAGCCCTGGAGCAGAGGAGCCAGGGAGGAGGAGAGTTCAGACAGCCCAGGCTTTGGTTGGCCTGCTTTGTCCTTAGAACAGCACAGATTCTATGACAAGTACTGAGAAGTAAACCCAGGCGTGCTGTACCACTGAGCTACACCACCAGCCCTGCAATTTTCACTCTGAGACAGGGTCTCACTGAGCTGCCCAGACTGGCCTTCAACCTGCAGTCTCCTGCCTTAGCCTCCCAAACAGCTGGGACTACAGCCTGAAAAACTCAAATCAGCAGCCCTCACTGTGTGAGAAATGTCATCAGGATCGAGCCAAGTCAGCACAGGCTGGTAAATTATAAAGAAAAGAGGATTGTTTTGGTTCACGGTTCTGGTCCAAGACTGAGGAGCTGCATATGGTGATGGTCTTTTTCCCAACAGTCTGCACACTGCTTGGGGCAGCACATGGTGAGAGATGTGGAGTGTGTAGGATCTTGCTTTGTAGAGCAGGCTGTCCTCGAACTCACTATGTAGTCCAAGCTGGCTTTGAATTCATGATGATCCTCCTGCCTCAGCCTCTCAAGTGCTGGGATTACAGGTGTGGGCCACCATGATGGGAAATGGCTTGTCTTTTGAAGGGCAGAGTTTTTCAATTTTTTTTTTTGGTACCGGGGATTGAACTCAGGTCCTTGCACTTGTGTAGCAGGCGGCAAAACCACTGAGCTAAACCCCCGGCCCAAGTTTTTCAGTTTTGATAAGGTCCAATTTATCAATTGGTTTTTTTATGGATAGTGTTTTTGATATGTTAGGAAATCTGCCTAATGCAAGGTCAGAAAGATTTTCTCCTGTGTTATCTTGTAGAAGTTTTTATAGTTTTAGGTCCTCTCTCTCTCTCTCTCTTTCTTTTTCTTTCTTCCTTTCTTTCTCTTTCTTGCCTCCCTCCCTCCCTTCCTTTCTCCTTTTCCCCTCCCTCTCTCTCTCCTTTTTCTTTCTTTCTCTCTTCTCTCCTGTCTCTCTCTCTCTCTGTCTTTCTTTTATTCTTTATTCTTTAGTGCTGAGGATCAAACCCATCCTAGGCACTTGCTTTACCTATTATATTTATTTCTACAACATATCTCCCATTAATCTTTGTGTATAGTATGAAGTATGTATCAAAATTTGTTTCCCTATACTACGAAGCTACTGTGATAAAAACAGCATGGTAGTGGCAAAGAAACAGACCCAAAGATCAGTGGAATAGATTAGAAGATGCAGAAACAACTCCAGACATA